ATCATTTATTATTATTGTACCGAATTTTTACATGAATAGCGGAACACGTAAGGACAATGTTTTGTTGCATAAATTTATTTCTCGCCTCCCGGCCCCTTTCCTTTTGATATTTTTCCCGGTTTTGCCATAACCTTGTTCCCATCTACAATCCACCCCTCTCTCCACAACAGGCATACTGAGCGACCCGAGGACCGTCACCTTTCCCCAAAAGCCTAATTATCCTTTCCGTTCCCTTCAGGTTCCCTTTTTGGATTTTAGAGACTAAGTTTGAGTTAAGATCTTAGGATTTCGAGGTACGATTTTCGATACAATGAATTTCGAGGTTAGTTAAGTTTAGGATTAAGAACTTTTTCCGGTTTGGTAATTCCGGTCAAAAATTACCTGGCGCCCATAAGGTTAAATTTTAGCAGGTTTTGTTAGGCTCAGGGGAAGTAGGGCGAAGGTAATGGGCATTTCCCATTCACCGGGAAAATGTCACGTTACACAGATTAAAAAAATATGGTCGAAGTGGACCACCAAGGGCCGGGCGGGAAAGGGGGGAGGGGCTTACACACATGATTGAATGAATGTTATAAGTCATCTTCTGCTCAGTACAGAGCGCATTTTCAATCCGTTAGTTGAGTGTAAAAGTTCTCCACTAGTGTGATGTCAGCTGACAAACCGACCTCAACTGATACGATTTCTACTTGTGAAGTAGGTACAATTCGTCAATTCATTCAAAAATTGGTAGCTTCAGAGAGAATGAAACGATATCTGGCATCAAGTGCAATTGAGTTGATCGACTCATCAGATGGAGAGTCTGATCTTGAAAACCCCTCAGAAAATTCATCTGCGGTCCTGGATTTTTCTGAAATAGCATCGGATAGTAGTGGTGATGATGATTGGAATGTTTTTACTCGGTCAAGTCCTGAGGCTACGCGTGATGTGCATGAAAACAATCACGATTCATCTATTAGTGTCGTGATAGCAGAACCGGACTCAACTATCCAACTGAATGAAGGAAATGATCCAACACTTGAGGAGAAAGAGATAATGGATATCTTAGACTCTCCAGAGAGTCCAGTACCTGAGGACTCCCCTGCAAGTCCTGAACCAGAATCTCCAGAGAATCCACTGCCTGAGGAGAAGGGGATTGTGAAAATTGCAGACTCTCCAACAAGCCCAAAAGCAGAGTCGCCAGAGAGCCCAGCACCTGATGAGAAAGGTTCAATCCATCATCCAAATTCCACAGCAGACAACTTGATGACGGTAGTGGAAGACGCGGATTCAATGGAGATAGAGGCGGGTGGTTCTCTCGAGAATCCAGAGGTTGCACCAATGATGCCAGTGAATGTTGAGACTGTGCCACCTAATTCAGCAGAGGGCACAGAGCCCTTCGTTAGAGTGGGGGAAGCTGTCTGCCCACCAGCAGATGACTCAGACGATGATGATGTGGAACCTGTTCGAATTTTCGTACCTGAAGAACGGAAAGAGGTGATGTCTGAAAGAGCTATGATGAAAAAACTCAGAGAAATCATCAATCGCCATTACAAAGCTGGTGGAACTTTCGTCGAAATGGGAGATGTTCGACCCAAGCTGATCTTCTGTCCTCATGGAAATATTTACTTTTGACCAATGGGATCATTTAAACATCCCAAGCGATTGTCAACCAATATTAAAGTCTATCCAGAGGTAAATTAATAACAAAATTCTACCATCTTAGCAATCCGCTGACTCAATTACTAATTTCTTTCATTTTTTGTCTATTTCAGTTGTAATTTCCGAGGGAAAATTATTTTGAAAAACTGACTTCTACCATCCGATAATTAAACAATGAAAAAAATTCAGTACTTGTACTTCATTATTTTTGATTTTTTAAAATTTATAATATTAAAATGTTAAAGTGAAAGGATTGTAATCATCTATGCTTTGAAAACTCAGTAATATTATTCTGTAAAAATATCTAGGCATATATATGTATTGAATAAAGAATATTTTCTCCACATTAAATCTCTGTCAATGCTCCATTCTTTACCGTCCTCTAGATGTAAATATTTAGAGTTTTTACGTCAGATACCTAGAGTGAGACGGAAAATATTTGGAGGCTTAGACGCATAAGCGAGACAAATAAACATTGTCTTGCAGCTTCGTCAGTACATCTCATCTAATCCGAGCAACAAGTAAATGTCGTCGAACGTGAAAATTTGTAGTGAACATCATAGTGTCATCCATCGATTTTAATAATGAATCATCGCTTTTTTTATGTTTTAGTGAAACCTGAAATATACGTTTTCCCGGACCCCGAGATGAGGCAGGAATGGGAAGAAGACGATGGTCGGATGGTGGATTGGTGGTTGGACTAGCTGGAGAGAACTTGGGAAAAAATCCCAAGATACTACCCCCTAATTGCCAAACTCGAAGTACCCATGGACTTGGTGGGGAAGTTCATGGCGTACCTCGGAGAGCATTTTTATGCAAATAATGTAAGTTGTCTATCACAATCAGTGATCCTTTTTACATATTTCTTCTTCAACTGATGTATCATTTTTGGTTATAGGAATCACGGCTCCATCAGGTATTGAAGGAATTCCTCAATTTTCTCCGGCTGGTTCGCCGTGAGGATGAGGCAGTGGAGATGCTGCCCCACACTCACGCCATTGCAGCAGCGACTGTAATGATTCTGGATGCCCAGAATCATTACAACACATAATGTAAATATCTATCGATTCTTCATTCCATGATCCACATCACTCCGCTGTGCATTGAAATTGATAAAAAAAAATATTTTGTATGTTTCAGATGCATTGTCCAGACAACTTTTTATTTTTTTCGTATTTTTTTATTACTTAGAATAAGAAGTTTTTTATTATAACTACCTCTGTATACTGAGAATGAAAGGTTTTTAAAAATATATATAACAATAAGCAAAATTTACAGTTTGTCCATTTTTTTTTTAGAACCATCCTTATTTCGGGTTATTTTTACAAGCAAGTTGAAGGGTTTCGAACCGTTAAATTTTCCGCAGAAACTCAACCGTCTGCAGACTTCTGAGAAATTGATGAATAAATGGCAATGAATCGATCTCACTGAAACTTTATGACTCATTGAAACTCCAACACATAATGATATAAATTGATCAAGAAACCTTCAGAGACCAGGGAGGAGAGAAAGAGTCCGAGACTTTGCTGAGATAAAGCTTGGTGACGAGGAGGAGGATTCGGGGTGAACATTACCATGCTTTCATTTTTAATTTTGCGGTTTTCACGTTACGAGTGTGTATCAGGGTCGTTTCCGCGCCTTCTAATTATTAACTAGCCAATGCTCAGTGCGGGAGAGAAGAATTCGTGCTGGTAGAGCCGTTTTACGGAAAACATCTGTTGGAGAACATCGCGCCTCGTGTGAGAAATTTTAATTGTTCGACGCGGTTCAACTGCGCATTAGACATCGTATTCGAGAATTTTCGGTTACGTCATCCTTTAGAAACGTTTTTGGGAATATTACGAGGAATTCAAAACATCAATTAGAGCGTTTTGCTTGGGAAACCGAGCCGAGAACATCTCTTGTTCTCTTGTTGCGTGGAACGCCGAGGTGAGGGCCTCTCCCATCTCTCATTCCCTCCAGCGACTATTTTATCGCCTCTAATTGCTGTTCAGCCATATTTTTTACTAATAATTAAAACTCTTTACGAACGTTAACAATTCGTCATGCGGCTCACGCCCTAGTATTTAGAATAGTTCGACATTCTGTGCAGTTTTCGTGCGATTAGAGGATTCATCTCGAATCTCGTGTGGCGTGCCGGCCGATAGCTCTAACGTGGCTATGTTTTATCGTCAGTTATCCTCCACTTGTAGAATGTTTCGAGCAATGCCGAATCTGCGGCGCCCGGCGCCCTGCGCCTTGAAATTTATTTCTGGAGTATGGGAAATATTGACCTGGTTGTTATTTTCTCGAGCTTTGCTCCAATTATTGAATTATGCGTTTATCGCCATTCCGGTAGGGAATAAAAATTTCTTCTGAATTGCGAATATTAGCCTGACATTATTTTCGTGCCTTTTGACCGAGTTCGAGATTATTAGGATTTTGACTAATTACAATTTCTGGGTTTCTGCGTACGTCACGCCTAATTTTGTATTTCTCTCCCTCAACTTGGTATTAGTAATCTTACTATTCAATGTAATATTGGTTTTGCTCTTGAATTTAGAGATTTTGAGTAATTCATTTTAGAGTTTTGCCCAATAAATTTGTTTTCACCGGGATCCATCCCTCTCTCTGACCCCCTGAGCAGCGCGGGTAATACCGCCTATTCCTGGGATTTTCTTTCGAGACTTTATTTTATAGAATTCTTTTGGATTTTCGTTTCCGTTTTGAGAATTAGGGTATTCTGGTTTCTCATTTCCGGAGAGAAAAAAAATGACTGGCGCCACACTTTTGATTGTTATCTTGACGATTTTAGACTCCTGGGGAAAAGGGCCGATGTCATTCCCAGTGAAATTGGGCAATTTACAATATATATATAAGAGGCAACCTACAGTGGGGTAGTAGGTTCAGCATGTGGCCACAAAAGCCACCACCCCCTCGACCGCCTCCGCATCCAATTCGAGGATCTCAGAAACCCGTCCCATCGCCCTCTCCAGCCATTCGAAGACCTGGAATACAGGAGCCCATAATTCTGAAAAAAAATATAAATCAATAAATAACGAAATTCAAACACACACATACAGGGTATCCCAGAAGTACATGCTAATCCTTTACCAGTATGTACAGGGGGTGATTGTCAGCAGAACAGTCCTTTTCCACTTTTGCATCAAAAGCACCCACCCTCAGATATTGGGGTAAACCGGAGAGCCAATGACACTGCAGCGTTAAACGGCAGTACGTCCGTGTGGCTCCGACACATGCATGAGCGACGCCCCTTCCAGGCAGCGGGCTATGTGTGCGGAGCCACACGAACGTACTGCCGTTTAACGCTGCCGCGTCATTGGCTCTCCTATTTACCCCAATATCTCCGGGGGGTCGGTTTTGATGCAAAAGTGGAAAAGGACTTTTCGGCTTAGAATCACCCCCTGTACATACTGGTAAAGGATGAGCATGTACTTCCGGGACACCCTGTATATATACAGGGTGTCCCAGAAGTACCTGCCGATAATTAACTGGCATGTACAGGGGGTGAGTCTGACCCAAAAAGTCCTTTACCACTTTTGGATCGGAAGCACCCCTGCGGAGATACTGGGGTAAACAGGACAGCCAAGGACGCTGCCGCGTTAAGCGGCAGTACGTCGGTGTGGCTGTCGCGCTCGAGTGTGAGTGATTCCCCTTCGAGCCAGAAGGAGGCGAGATCACGTTCCACATTCACCCGTGAGCGTGAGAGAGAAGTCATGGTATTCTCTCTCACTCTCTCGCATCACTCCGCGTCAATGTTCTTACAGTTATCTTTTAAACAATTGGGTTTTTGGGATTTTTCCATTGATTATTATTTGTTGCAAATTGAATTTGCAAGAAAATAATCTCACGGAAAAATCACCTAAGCTCAATTGTTTATTTTATATCAGCAACAAACAGTTTCATACTTTTTAAATATTATAAAAAAAACGATGGGCCGTACGGCATTTGTCCATCAGATGTTTTTTGTTGCAAATTCGATTTGCAACAAAAAATAATCAATGGAAAAATCTCCGAAAGCCCATTGTTTATTAGATAATTGATCAAAAGGGTGTTTTTAACGAAAAATCGAAAAATCACCGCGATTGCTCCGTCGATTTTAGAGATAATTGTTTAATTATTAATTATCTCATCAACCATGAGATTTAGCAAAGCTTATCGGAGAATCTTTTTTTTTGTTAATGAGATTTAACAAAAAAAAGTTCTCCTTATAAAATTTTGTCAAAGTCTCGGTTGATAAGATAATTAATAATTAATTAATTATCCGAAAAATGGCAAGGGGATTGCCCGCGATTTTCCCAAAAATTCCCAGTGCCGCGACTGTTTTTCCTGTTATCTTTTGTGACCTTGGCCGGGGAATTAAAATATAATAATTCCCGGCGAAGACACGATATTGGGGAATTTACGATAATCTGAAAAATGAAAGGGAAATTTATTATAATTTATGGGAGGATCTGAAATAATAAGAGGGAGGGGATTCTCAATAATTACTCGGGGGGATTTATAAATTGACTATCTGTATTCTACTCTTTTTACAAACTATTACATCAAAATAAACCGGGCCTTTTAACTAATATAACTCGAGGGTGGGGGGTAAGGCCAACTCACTTGCGGCTACGCGAAATAATATAATAAAAAGAAGGGGAGGCTCTAACTCTGGAAAATGGGGGAGAAGTGAGGGGGCCGACTGAAAAGGTAATAATTAATAGGGGGCTTAATTTACAACTAAAATAAATTTACTGGAGGCTCACCGTTGGGGGGAAATTGACACGGGGCAGAGAAATTCGTTGGGGCAGGGAATAAAAAATCAGGCACTCACGGGCAATGGTGTCTTCAAAGTTCTCTCCGCTTTTCTCGGGGTCTCTCCTCCTTCCTTCCTTCTCCCGGCTCTCCTCGAATCCTCTCCACGAGATTCAGCCGTACAATCTTCCTCTCCCCAAATCTGTTCCTCCACACGAGATTCCTCTCAAACGTTCTCCAACCGAAATAGTTCCTCGCAATTAAATCCTTTCCTCACAGTTCCACACACTATTTCTCTCTTTCTCAATAGTTTTTCTCACGCACAGAATCCTCCACAGTATTCTTCACTCTCTTTCTCCTTCATTGATAGTCCCTCTTACACAATATTTAGTCCTTCACACTCTTTCTTCTTCACACAGTATTTCCTCCTGACAATAAGTATTCTCCTTTAATCGGGCAGTGACTCGTGGGGCGGCTGTGGCACGAGTGATAGCTGCCAATCATTTTCACTTGTTCTTTCCTCGTTTTGGGGGGCCATCGGGTGTCCTTCTTCTTCTGAACTGGGGGGCTCGTACGGGGGATGTCTCTTTCTTCCGGGGTCACGTGGGATCCTCATCCTTGATGCCTAGTGCGTGATGGCGCGGGGAAATGGGGACGGACGTAAGTAATCTCTGGGGATGGGTTGCCCAACGGTGGCGCAAAAGATTACTCAAAGTTTATTACTTAATTACGTAAAATTAACTTAACCTATCAAAAATAACATATATTAATTAGGCGGCCGGGGGGGGGGGGGGGCGCAAAATTCTGCCTCGTCACACTTTTAAACAATTGGGTTTTTGGGATTGTTCCATTGATTATTATTTGTTGCAAATTGAATTTGCAACAAAATAATCCCATGGAAAAATCACCTAAGCCCAATTGTCTATTTTATATCGGCAACAAACAGTTTCATCCTTTTTAAATGTTATAAAAAAAACGATGGGCCGTACGGCATTTTTCCATCAGATGTTTTTTGTTGCAAATTCGATTTGCAACAAAAAATAATCAATGGAAAAATCCCAAAAACCCAATTGTTTAAAAGATAACAGGAAAAACAGTCGCGCCACTGGGAATTTTTGGGAAAATCGCGGGCAATCCCCTTGCCGTTTTTCGGATAATTAATTAATTATTAATTATCTCATCAACCGAGACTTTGACAAAATTTTAGAAGGAGAACTTTTTTTTGTTAAATCTCATTAACAAAAAAAA